TCAGTTCTGCCAGAGACTACCTGATACATCTGAGTTTAGAACGGACCGTGCAACAACATAGGATGGTCACACGGCGATTAACTGGGGCAGTAACGCTCTGAGGACGACGATTCCTACCAGCCAGTATGTGCCAGGGAGGCCCGAATCCGTCACCACCTGCTTGTGCCGGCGTGTCTGGAGTATCAGAGAGTCTCAGCCGTAAAGGATCACCTGATGTTGATCACAAGCATCGAGGACTGCAGCTAGCTGCAGCTCCCCTTTGTCAGATCGCTAACCGAATGAGCGCTAGAAGCTAGAAAAGGACAGGCCCACGTAGTTGCAGCTGGTTCAGATTTTTCCAACAAATGTGGGAGGCATGTGATCCTCAGCGATCTTCAATCCCCTGCATTTGCCTAGAGCCAGGCCCGGACCCCTCGACATGCTTCCGCAGCACCGCGCTGTGAAGGTCTGGGCCGAAGACTTTTCGTCGGGGGTCAGGTGGCATCTCTGGCTTCACCCTGCACACCCACCCTCGCTTAGCTCTTTACTTCTGCTTCTTGCAGTGTCCTCCGACAGTGCTGCGGTTCAGGTGAGACTGCCGACGCCTGGGCTTGGCACTCGGCAAGCCTTGGCCATGAGCCGCTAGTGTCACGGGCACAGGCAATTGGTCAACTCGTGGTTCGCAAACAGCGAGAGCCACCAGCTCAACTCAAGTAACTCAAGTCCCGGCTCGCGAGCAGCCATCGAAGAAGCCACGCAGAGAGAGCTCAGAAAACTGAGTCTTGCTCCCCTGCAGGGGCTTCCCGATGCTGCGGCTTGGGCAGAGCTACACATTGATACTGTCACCTGGCTCGCTGCAGGAAGCCGGCACGAGAGATGCATTCTCCACATATTGTTCTGTCGCACTGATCTGGAGACAGCCCGGTTGTCTTGTACATGACTTGTACTTTCAGCCTTGCTAGTCTCTGTTGCAGCCTGAAGCGCAGGACATTGGTATGGGCAATACAAGCGAAGCCATCCGGGTGGAGTTCAAGTGTTTGCCTCTCGTCTACACATGGAACCATGCTTCGCTGAGTGAATTTGGAACTTCTTGCTGCCGTGCAAAGGCCTGAGAGGGAGATGAGACAGCCTGAAATCGTTCATAGTCCCGCCCAGACGTCCTCTCTTGCCATGCTTCATGTTCATGTTGTGCATTCTGCCGCAGGGAGATGCTGCAGGGCACAGCCAGTCCTCGCGCCGTGGCCGCAGACGTCGCGCAGGGCGAGACCCAGGCACCTCTTGGGCTCCAGGGGCCGTTGGAGTTTCAGGCAGTTTACTGGGCCGGGATGACCACATCGCCAATATACATACTGACATACTGTCACTTTCTTCTTGACTAGTCCTACCGATGCATTGTTATAAGTACGATCGAAACTATGTCACCTACATCTTGATGTTGTCACCTGAAGGATTGCAATTGCTACTCTTATGAAGCCGTGGGTGGCAACTTCGGTTTCTTCGCAGGTGCCAGGATCGCGGCACATCTTCAGCGTATGGTACAGTGAGGCTGGTCAGGGCCTGGGCGGCACGACAGTCTGCATCAATCCGCTGCCGTTCTGTGCTTATTGTCATCACTCCTATCATATCATCGTACGGTTCTCACCTCTTGCTGATGCTGCTGCTCCTTCTCCTACAAATTATTACTTCTACGGTTGATGATATAAATCCTGCATTACCCATAACAAGGAAAATGCCATAATTCCCGTAGTTTGGGTCCTTAAGGTAATGCAGTATTTATATTCATCAACAGTACGACGACGACTACTACTACTACCGCTACTGCT